TACTCCAACGGAACAGTCCTACCCAGCATTTCTCTTTTAAATCCCTCCATTTTCTCCCTGGGAGGAGATTTCCTTTCCTTTCCATTCCTGCGAGCTCTCAGATGATGTCATGCTCACCGAGTTTCCATTGCTCCAAACAATCCTGTTAACCTCAGCGCTGCTTCATGCTACCACACATTCCTGCTTCAAAAAAGAAAAAGAAAAAAAAAGAAAAAAGGAAGCTGACCTCCCACACCTGAGATTTGGCGGATGAAAACGACACTCTCAGATAACGCTGACCTCTCACCTCTTGCTGTCTTATCTGCCTGCTCATGGCTGGCTGGGATAGTGGGAAAGAGGGTGCGGTATGAAATTTCTGCAGACAAGTTAGGTGATGTGTTGAAGATAAAGCCACTTTGTGCCAAAGTTGAGCCTCTGTGTTTGACATGAACTTCATAATATTGTTCTGACCTCTTCTTTTGGCCATGGAGCATTTAACTTTCCCTTACAAGTCTGACAGAAAAGGGCTCTTTTTGAGATATCAGCACAGAGATGAAAAGATGGAAAATCCAATGGGGTGTGAAAACTATTTAGATGTTTTTTTTTATATTTTGGATTTGACTGGATTACGCAGGTTTAGATTCACTTCTCAAGTGTCAAACTTGCATGAGCCAGTATGCCACTTCTTGGACACATCCCAGTCATATTGTAAAATAAAAGCAAAGTATACAAGTTAAAAATTTCTCAGAATGGCAAGTAAAGTTAAATTTAAAAAGGTTTCTATTCAGGCAAACAGGAAGCCCAAAGACGCTCTCTTTCCCAACCAAAGACAGGTGTATTTTTATGGGCTCTCCTCTTAAATTACTGTGACTTCACCAGCAGTTAGTGGCCGTTTTGAGAGAATAGTTCCCTAATTACTCTGTGATATTCAGCGTCTAAGTTCTGCTCCGCAGCATGTCTCCGTGCCTTTGGGCGAACCAGGGGGCCACACAGTAATACAACCATGTGTTACATCATTACAGTCCTCCACGAGCGCCCTCCTGATACTCAGCACACAGAAATACATGTGTGTGTGGACACACACATAGACAGGGGGCGGACCAAATAACAGCAGACATTATAATGCAGCCCTGCAATAACAGCTATGCTTCTGAAGTTAAATTGTTGTTAACACATTGTCAGAAAGGTGCTGATTTAAGTAATTGCAGTTCCTGTTATTTTGTTAACCCGACATACATAGAGGTTAAAATGTAGGTGGGCTTTTAGGTGACATTATTCATCTTCTGGCAGCCATACTGAAGATCCTCATTCAGTGGTACCTTGTCTAGAGCTGAAATCATTAACGGGTAATAAAACAGCAAAAATGTATCTTTAATCTTTAATAATTAGTAAAGAATAAATATCAAACATTTGCAGATTCCATTTGCTGTTTTTCTGACAGATGATCCGACAAAACAAGACATTTGAAGACTTTGAGGTCTGCTATGCAAAAAAAACTTTTATTTTTGTTCTGTGCGACATTTAACAGACGTAACGATTAATTGAAAATATGACTGCCAGTATAATCTGCAATAAAAATAATCATTAGTAGCAACACTAATCTTGTCTGCTGAGCACATCCTATAAAAGAAGCTTAGTGTGGCTAATAAAAGCATATTAACATAGTCTGCAGGCAAAAAAGACAAAACCAGGTTCTGGTTTAATGACCTGATTAGTATGAAGCTATGAGTGCTTTAGGGTCCGAGCTAGGACTATCGCCAAATAAAGCAGGCTTTTACATGAAATGGCAAATAGCACTAGAACTACCAAAATTATGTTGATTGACATATACCATAATATATTTGCTACAGTCCTTGGTTTCAGTGGGCAGAGGCAGCTTCATGGGGTGTGAAATTAAATTGCTTTAAAGGTCTGAAAAGTTGCTAAATTATCACTTTACTTAACAGGTCTACAACTATGTAAATTTAAGTAGTTTACTCCTCTCTGATTTGTGGGCAATGCATTAGCTACATATAACGGTTAACAGCACATTAGACAGTATAAAATATCCAACTTCACTCTCTTAGGGTTTACATCTTGGTCAAAATTTGTTTATCTTATTTCTTTATGTTAAAACTGTCTGATAAAACACGTCATACTAACCCTGCTCATTCACACACACGATTACCAGCCTCGTCTGAACCAGCGAGGTCTTTATGTGAGCTGCACAGACGTGGGTTTGGTTTGGGCGGGCGGCTGGGAGCGAGAGGCAGCCCTGGTTTACAGGTCAAGCCTGCAGCTTTACAAGGGAAATCTCCAGAGCCACTATAAATACCACTGTGAGCTTTAAGGGTGCAGTATATCACACCACTGGGTTTGAAGCACCACAAACCGACCTACTTTTTGTAGTTTTTTTTTGTAGTCCCCCCCTGTTTCCCAACTGTACAGTCGCATGAGCCTGAATACAATTAAATGTGAATTTCCCCTCCTCCAATTCGAGTGACTGTTAATTGATTGGCCCGACTTCAAAACACCCCCCCCCCCGGCAACAAAGAGTTGGCCGTTCACCTCACGCGTCAGACCTATATATCATTAAAGTACCTTAAAGTTTGAGGGTGGTTTCACGTTTTTTTTTTTTTTCCCCTTTGCTGTAGTTCTGAGCAAAGGGTACAAATATGTCAGGAACCAATTCACGTAAATTGTGAGGTTTTTCAATGAGCCCCACCTGCAAGCAAGACATTTATTTAGCTCAAACTGATGTACTGCGACTTGAAATGAGGCCTAATGATTCGCTGAAGGAAACGGCTGCATAAAACCTACAGTGCCGTCGAAGTGACACAGCCGCGCCGCATGTGCAGCATAAATCAAGATGCTTTTTGCTCTGAAGCTGATTGAATATGCGCTTCATTTCAGACACGGCTTTAAAAAATTATAATTCATTCAGTTTTAGTCCATTTTACGGTGAGAAAAAGAAAAGGTTGGGAAAACCTCAAGTTGTCTTTTGAACACCTGAGCAGAGCAGATGTGGAGTCAGAGGACAATAAAAGCTGCGATTCAGCACTCACGTGCAAATCTCATCAGGCAGCTTTAGTTAGCGGCAGACAGCACTAATTGGTTCCAGAAGTGTTGCTCTCGTTCACACTGGCTGAGATGGCAAGCAGTGAGGGCGGGCAGAAATAGGGAGAAAAAAGGGGGAGAAAAAAAGAGGTAGTTGTAGGGAGGGAAAGGGGGGAGGGAGGGCAAGTAATGAGAGGTCAGCCGCCATCTACAGTTGGGCTGCCAGAGCCAGAAAGGCACGCCAATTTTATGGTCAATTGGGCGACGCATCTGGACTCATAGATCACAGGGCCGCAGGGCTGGACTTAGCACCCAGCTCACACACACAAAACAGACCACACAACACACACAATCACAGCCAAACAGGCTACACACACACACACACACACCAGGGAAACATGATGCTGTCAAGGAGTCTTATGAAGATTTTCATATACGTGGTCCCTACACAGTTGAAACGTCAGAATTTTCCCAGACAATAATAAAGACTTCAGAATTGTTAAACTGTCCACAGGCATCACTGAGCCAACTTACTATGACACATCGCTATATGGATGAAAATTATTTTTTCATTTTTCCTTTTGTTTCAAGTACTTGTCCAATTAAATTTTCACAGTTACCAAGACCTGGATAGTTTTTTTCAATGTGCTCCCAGAGTAAAACACAAAAGGCACAGACATTTAGTAATTGGCCCAAGATGCAGTCTACATGCTTTGCAAACTCATGAGCTACTAGCACGCTAATTAGGTCTTGTTGTGTGTTGACTTTGAATTCCTTGTGTTTAAACTGTTATAAAATATTGAACATGCTGTATTTTGGACACACACTGGTTCTCTGGTTCATGCTCAACAATATTTTAATGAAGGGTGGCAGGGGGGAGGCCAAGCTCAGCATTCACCAAAATTAACAAACAATTTCCACAATATGACATCATATCATATTACAGGGAGAAATTATATTAAATAGTTTTGGAAACTGTTTTGGACGGACATTCAAAAGGTTTTCAGGTTCTCATCTCAGATCAGTGCTATATTCATGAAGGTTGTCAGGCTGTCAGAATGACTAGTGGACAGTATATGATACAGTTTGAGTGTTGAAATTAAGAGAAAAATCTTAAATGAAGATGTTTGTAAGGTGTAGAGAATGAACTCCAAATCCTTAAAGTGTTCATGTGATGTGATTAAAAGCTCTAAAGTAGCTACTAAATGGAACTTGAGGTTAAACTATTTAGCCAAATCCTAAATCCTGAGAATATTAGGGAGGAACTGTCCAAAATTTAAGTGAGTCAGACTCATGACCACAGTGTTATGTCCCTTTAATTGTCATTTTCTTGTAACACTACATGTCGACAAAAGGCCATCTCTCATATGTGCAACCTATTAATCCGTCATGAACTTTACCTTTTGTTTTAGTTGTCAATATTAGCAGCTGAAATAACAACTCTGCTGTAACTTAATTCCAAGAGTTGGCGGAATTACAAAATTAAACTCCTGGCTGTTGTCTCCTCTGTGTGTAAGTGTTTATACTCAAAGTCAAAGATGGTTTACTTGAGAACATAAATAAACAACAACTGGTGATAAGTTGGAATGTCCTGTTAAACTTGTGCTGTAAGAAGGTTACATCATTAAAATTAAGATATATTAGGGCAATGCATTATCTTAAAAGCTCTGAATCAGGACCTCCAGGATTCGGGTATGAACCACCTTGTTCTATCAGCACCTTTCTAGTCTTCTGACTACTCAAAGCATTTTACATGTCACATTCAACCATTCATACACTGATGACAAGGTGCCAGTTGCTCATCAGGAACTAACTGAATGGCACAGCATCGGGAGCAATTTGGGGTTCCGTATCTTGGACAGTTCAACGTGCAGAGGAGCCAGGGATCGAATCACCAACCTTCTGATTAGTGGACGACTCACTCTACCTCCTGAGCTACAATGTGTACTTTAAAGTGCATTGTAACATACTACAGATTGTCTTACCTCCATGGCCACAGCCAGTGAAGGCAGCAGGGGCGTCATGTAGCTGTATCTCTGCATTGTCACCATGACGACACAGCGGAGCGTCTCCAAAACAGCCGCTGTTGGCCTGAACATGAGGACACGTCAAGCAAAAACACTAAGGATTAATGACATTTCAGCTTGACACCTTCACCCTCATTGGCCTCCTGGCCTTCACCTCCAGAACAAATGTTTCTGTGATGATGTTACAGGAATAATAGAGTTTTTAATGGGAGAAGCTTCAATTTCCAGAGCTGATTGAGTTCAAATAGATTTGACCCCTGACGTCGATGAGGAGATTCACGGTCTATTAGGAGGTCAATTCCAGTGCTACATGGCAGATATATGTGATGCCAGGTGCTGAAGAGATTTTTACATCTCTCTGAGTTTGAGCATTTTCCTGTTTCATCAACTCAGCACACAGATGAAGAAGAAGAAAAGTCCGTGGTAACACTTTATATTAAGATACACATATTCACCATTAACTAGATGCATATTATCATACATATTAGTAGCATATTGGCTCTTAATTAATTATTATAAAGCACCAATTAATGCCCTATTCTTTGTGACCATATTCTACCAGTACTAGGCCATTAACTAAAGAGTTTTCCACAACAACAACCTCCTAATTACTGCTTATTGATAGTAACTAAGGAAGCTGTTGTACATGAATTATGATCTTAATATGCTTTGCTCAGTATGGGCCTTATAAGGTGGTAGACATTATACTATTAAGCAGTAATATAGTAATATTATTAAAATTATTTATAATAAGCAGTAATTAGAAGGTTGTTAAGGGAAAACTCTAGTTAATGGATTAGCAGTTGTAGAATATATACGTGTACCTTTGATATAAAGCGTTACCAAGTCTTCTGTCTTTTTTCCCCCTTGATAAGTATCTTAAGTAATTAATGGATTATCAAATATGTTGTCGATTTATTTTCTGTTAATTGACTAACACCAGTAGCAGAAGCATGTTGGTGTTTTTTTTCTTTCCCTCCTGGTGAACAATCTTGTGACTCCTTGGAGAGTTTCAACCTCAGCCTGGGATCCACGAATATAAATAACCAGAGAATTTCTTCTTGTTTCTTATTAAACTCTGTCCACCTCCACATTTTGTCACCGTCCAATTAAATACCCAAATGCTACTATAAAAATCAATACACAAATAGATGTCTTGTACCGTACCTCTGATCGATGATGTATCCCAGGGCGGTCAGAGTGAGCAGAATGTAGACCGTCATCCCCAGAACAGTTAACTGGGACAGCATCTAGGATCAACACACGTTTGCATGCCATGAGAAATGCGGTCGGGGAAAAAATACATTAGAATCTAAACCTTAAATTAATATCATGGCTGGTTAAGTTACCAGCACAGGAGACCTCACTGGGAGAGCAGTCATAAACCACATGGCTGTTCCGACTGTTTACTTGGCACTGCCAACCAAAACATGTCTGACCTTCAGAATAAGTGTACTGGCACATGCAGTATCCTGCAGCAAAGGCAATCCGCCTCTTACTTTACACTGACATGCCTAGTTTACATAGACGTGCTAATCAACCCAGATGGGTCTTGACAGGGGACTTGACCACAGTGGAAGAGCCTGCAGTTTGAATCCCGATAGCCCCTAACCAGAGCCAAAACAACCAACATCCTAGCAGAAATCCCATGCAGATTCTCACTGACCTTTTCTGAAGCTATTTGGGACGCACACACACAACAGACTCACACTAAGACACAAAGTACAGAACGTGATGTACGGTCTAATTTGTGTTCTCTAACCTACGGCCTTGGCTGAGGGCAGCAGCTGGAAGCCCCGTGTCTCCTGAGGATGTCGTGGGCTGTCAGCTTAGGTTTATATTTCTCCGACACTCAATACAGAGCCTAACAGCCAAATCTCACTGACTGCTCCCATACTGTACAGACCCATAAGGCCATATATAGTAAACATAAAATCAAGCCATCAACAGGATGCAATAAAACCTTATGTCTTTATGTTTATCCAATAGTCGTAATCCATAAACCCCCATAAGAACTATATAATCTGAGCCCTCACATGGGAACATAGGGGGATGATATGATTATGTTTTCCGTGAATCAAATGGAGGAATTCTGGCCACGATCCAGCTATCAGAGGGAAGAACCAAGAGTCATCCCAGACTGTCAAAGTATATTAAAACTGAATGATCATTGCATCAGAGTCCAAAGGCTACAGATACAGTTATTTTTAGTTAGAGGTGTAATGAGCAGAGAATTATTTTGGCATCAAAGGTTATGTGAACTTATCTGTGTTTAAAGACCTGGGGGGGGGGGCTCAGCAGACCAGGCGCTGCGCTCCCTCCGTGTCGTCAGGTGGACTCACATTTGCTCAGCTTATTTAAAAAAAAAAATAGGATAGGGGAAATGTTCTGTGCTTCACTCATCGTGCTAATTTTTTATGTTATCAAGTGTCGAACTGCAGCAATAACAGCAGAGGACAGAAATGAAAGTTAACATCTGGTGGCAGCGGCCTGATTGTGTTATTCTGTTGTCCCCTGAGACGAAGCAGATTAACTCATTATTCAGGCCATTATTGCAGCTGTTATCATGAAAGCTTGTTGGACAGATTTACCAACGAGAAAATACACCACTTTATCTGTTGTGAGATGTTACTACTACTCTGAGTTGAAAATTAAAATAAAAAATAACAATCTAGTCACATATCTGTGCCATGGTTTGGTGATGATGGGTAGACATGATTATATGTTTTTTCAACCTGGAATAGACAGTTTACAGTGCAAATACGGTCATTTTGTGCGACTGTATAGGACAAACAATGCTCTAATTACATCCTAAAGTGGGATTGCACATTATTTAGCTCATTTCTGTTGCTATATTATGTCAAATGTTTGGTCTTTTTCTTTCTCTGTTATGCTTTAAATTATAACTTACACCATAGCAGGTACTGAGGTCCAAATTTTGCAACCATACAAACACCAAAGGACAGATTTTATGACTTGGTCAATTCCCCTCTCTCTCTCTAATAGTAACTGTTTAGCAAACCTATAATAAAACGTACACGTTGGCCTGCTGATGAAGTAATTGAAGAGTAGCTTCACTTGTTTGAAATAACCATGTTTTCATGGCTTCGAATTAACGCAAAGCCCATAAATTGTCCGGCAGTGTATCATCAATTGTCAAGCTAAATAAGCGGCTAGCGAACATGTGGGTATAAATACATAACAGTGACATGATTTATTGTTGGGCCAGAGTGCTCACTTTGTTATTTTCCCTCCAAGTCCTGATTGCTGCATCCTGAAGGCTATTTGGGTTGGGAAATGGTTGACTCGACAATTAAGGCGTTTGTGTTCACTGCTGGACCACCAGCTGGTGTTTCATTCGCCGAGAGGGAGGGGAACCCTCGACCCTGGAAGGGAGGTGTGTGTGCATGTGTGTGTGTGTGTTTGTGCGGGGAGACCACAACTGAAGGAGCACCACGGAGGTAGCCATCACAAAAAGACAGGCCATTTTATTTGGGAGTTTGAAGGGGCTGGGCGTGACAGCACTTTTTGGCTAACCAAAACTATGCCTAGGGAAAAAAGGCTTCCAAAGATAACTGCTGAGGAGACCTGTTTCTTTTTTTCTGAGGGAGGAGGAAGGGGGTCTTTTGGCTCGTCGAGTGGAAAATAATAGACAAAGGTTGTTCTAAAGGGGAATGCCGATCAGTCATTCTGTCATGATGTTAGACAGAGCTAGTCTTTTCCTGCTGGCTAAGTAGAGGACTCTGCTCGACCATGGACCAGCCACAACAAACTGCATAATTGGGTGAAATAATGTTGGCAAACAAACATGCAGCACTCAGTCTTAAATTAAGATCCCGGACCACCTTGTCATACTTTATATGAGGGACTACAGTAGCCTAAACATTACAGTAGCCAGCGTGTGACCAGCAGGTCACCAGCCTCAAGCCTAAAGGGCTGTAAATTCTGACTGAAAAACAGTGACATAAATGTTCTTCCTTCCCTCAGAAGTACTGTCAGTGTGCTTCTGAGCAAGGCATTAAGCCATCTAATGAAGTTTATATGTGTATATTCTTTTACAGTTTTCCTAATACGTACCATCTTCTTTTCAAACAAATCGTGGTAAGTCCACAGCACCAGCAGGAAATGTATGACCACATAAACTTGTAAAGGCAGCGACCAGCTGGGACTGTGAGGCACTTCCTGTCCGGTAACCTGCACATGGAAAATAAAACATGTTTAATTCCCGAATCCCTAATTTATTTTGTAAATTGAGTCATTTTCTTCACAGATTCTCACACCAGACAGCGTGCCTATAACAACAACTCATTCAAGTTCAACCTCATGTTTATAGTAACATGCTCAGAAACGTTACAGTGTGGCTGTACTGAACAGAGCAGTGAAAAGCTCATACCCCGACTCTTTATTAATAACCAGTGTAAATACATATGAAGTATGATGTGCTGTGTGTATTATTTCGTTATGGCTTTAAAAGACCAGTGTGTAGGATTTAATGGTATCTAGCAGTGAAGTTATCTGGATAAAGTTTAGCCTTCCCGGCATGTAGGAGAAGCTACAGTGGTCCTTTTTTCAGGTTAATGAAAATGTCTGCCAATATATCCTACTAAATGTTTCACACTGGGCCTTTAAGGACCATTAAAGCTATAACCAAATGAGCTAAAGTATCCCTCCAACAGCACCAGTTCCAAATGAGTTCACCTGAAATGACTTTAACCTGGATATTGTTTACCATTATTCATTATATAAAAGTGGATAATGCTACAATTATTCTTTCATATATAACATGATTCTGTAGCCGCTGCTGTTTAGGCTTGAGCTCTTGTTTCCCAGAGGTTACATAGAGTTTGCATTCATGTAACAACTTACTACTTTTTAACCTTTTATCCATGACGTATCCATTATCCATTTTGATTTTGGTGCTTGAATGCTAAGTAGTTTCCACGCGCTCTCAATCGCAGCACAGGGTTTTCAGGTTTTGCAACTGACTCACAACATCACACCGACTTGTAATCTTATTTGTTTACTTTCCTATTCCACACAAATATGTGGGCATATATTTTTATATTATATATTTTTTTAACAAAATGATCATTTCTATGTTGTTCAATTTAGCTGCTGCTTTACAGTATGTCCAAGTACCATCACAAGGAACCACTTCCATAAACAACAACTGCGTTCATTCACTGATATGAATGAACGCCATATTGAGATTGTTTTGATAGATATTGCTATAGATTCTCGATTAGTGTATGAATGATCATTTCTGTATCACAAATTTAATTTTCACTGACAAAACTATTAAATTCATGATGATGATTGATTGATGATTTATTTTATGTTTTATTAAATCTGGAGATTTTTAGGCCAGGGCATCTCTTCAGAACTTCACTTCATTATAATGCTGTTTTGTCACACATTTTACCTTTATCAAAGAAATGCTGCTTCTGCGATTTGCATATTGCACTTGGCCATATTGCAATTTCAATAATATTTAGATTAATTGTGCAGCCTTACTCCTCTAAATGCCTCTAAATCACTGGCTGCATGCATTGCAAATAACAAAACAAACTTCTGTGCAAAGAGACAAAAGCCAAATGCAAATACTAAACAGCTGCTGCTGAAAACATGCCATAAATACAATGAAAATATGAAGGATCACAACTTTAAGAGAAGGTGAAAGGGCAGTAAAAACAGCTTCAGGTAAGGAAATAGAAAAAGGAAATAATGGAAATGACAAAAAGAACAAGAAATAAAAGTGAGTCAGAATGTTCGGGCCTTTAAAAAGACAAGAATTTCATAATTTAACTCGTAAAAGTTATGGAGCAACATGTTCAAACTTCTCTAATGACCTTTTTACCTTTTATGTGTTTATTTTCATTTGTTATTTCAGTCTCCTACAGGCTGAATTTCAAAACTGGTGAAAATTAGTTTGTTGTGTTCCATCCTCAAAGTCAGCCAGGATTTATTGGGTGTAGCGGTTTCCCCCAAACACAGAGGAATATATGAGTCCGTCTGTAAGAATTCCCTGAGTCATTTGACCTGTTTTTGTCTGAATGTGCCTCTTAACGATAAGTAATAAGGCCTGAGGGCTTTATGTTGAAACTGCATCCTTTTTGGGAATAAAGTACAAAAAAACTGGCCAATAATAGACGCCTGTCTCTCATTTCAGGGGGTTTCCCAGGAACCAAACCACCACATGTGGGTTCCCCCCGCATCCCATCCCCAACCCTGTAGGTATTCCAGCAAGCTGCTCTGCTTATTCTCAAAGAGCTGAAACAAGTTCAACCATGTCTCCTACTTCTTTCCCCTCTCTTTCCTTTCTTTCCCTCACCGGCAGATATCAAGGAGCAGCCGTCTAACACAAAGCCTTTCAAGATATTTCGGTTAAACTCCAGCTCTGTCCGTGTTTAGAATCACCCCGCTGGGTTTAAGGGGCCAATTTAATTGTAAAGGCAAAGGGGAGGGTTTTTTTTAAGTGTGAAGCATGAGGGAACTAAATATGTGACACCATCAGCGTTATTTCAAAGCTAACCGCTGGGGCATTCAGCTGGAGCCTGTATTTCTTTCTGCACACACACACACACACACACACACACACGCACATTCACACTCAACTGCATGCGGTTTTAATCCCGCAGACTGCGTTTAAAGACGGTGAAAATGAACTTATTGTGTTCCCTCTACAAAGGCTTTGCAGCATTTATTTGATGTGGCAGTTCCTTGTAAAACTCGTAGAATATGTGAATCCTTCAATAAGGAATGCTCTGAGTCATTTAGGCCTGTGTTTTGTGTGTGTCAAAATGACGGGTAACGAACCCCCGGGGGCATTACTCTGAAAATGATGAGAACAGAGGATTTTGTATTTACTAACCTTGGGATTGTCTTTGTGGTCACCTAATCGAGATTTACCAGGTTTCCAACTTGGACCTTTGACGAAAGTTGACAATTTGTTGCTGATTGTCTTGTAGGTGTTGGACCTTCTCCACAAATACAAATAGTAGTGTAACTGAAAGAGCAAAAAAGCATAAGCCAAACATCAATATACAATCAAACGCTACATTTAGCTGATCAATGTTAACTAAGCCATTGCTGCGCTAACTAATTCTGAGTAGGAATGTTTCTGCTTTCATTGGGCAGGACATTGCTCACGCTGTGGTCTGCCAGCAGCGAGGGCAGCAAAAATAATCATAACATCCACCTCCTGGCATTTCACTTTACTGGCCTCCTTCACCTCAGCTGGGCAGTTTGTTTAGAGGAAAGTAATAATGTTATGGTTACAAAATGGTCTCTCAGCCAGCGAGAGAAATATGAGCTCATGCCTCATCTACTGAAGGTGTATATAGTCAGAGGTGGAGGTGAGCCGCCGTTGATGAAGATAGGACTCACCTGAACATAGAGGATTTCAAAGGTGTTGATAGGGAACACTAGGCCATACACCACTTTGTCTGACTCAAGAGCAAAGGTACCTGAGGGGGACATCAACAGTTTTTTATGAGTGTAGACTTTTACAAAAATAATCCCTCTCAATCATCACTGATGAAGTGATGTAGCAGTGATTGTATACGCAGATACCCTGCCATCTACTTGTATTTTCTTATTTTTTTGCTGAAAATTCTGGCCGGCAGCCTGTGCAGGGTGTGAAGTAAGGACGGTCTGTGTGTCCGTTTGACCGAGGGCTACAGCGGACATGATGCAGCCTGGCTTTGGCTGCATTTACACTAACAATGTGGCTCCCTCCTTCAAGGTTGTGTGGAGGTGTGGCCATGTTTATACGCACTTTAGAACGTAACCGCTGTGAAACAATCAGACAGCAATGTGCTATTTCTCTGATTCACTGCTTTGTTTTCACTAACGCTGCTCCTTCTCTTTATTCACTCTCTTGCTCGCTCAACCACCACTGTTCTCGCTCTCTATGACTCGTTGAGCCGGGAAGGAGAGACCAACTTTGAATTGTGGGTTTACAACAACAAATCATCCTCATCAGCCTTTAAACTTCTTCTTTTTTGGATACTTGGAGCCAAAAAAACACAATAGTGACATTAACTGTTTGCAAACATTTGCTGATTTACACATCCAGCAGACATAGAGTGGCATTAGCAGTCATCTATAGTTGTGTTTGTGTCCACCTGGTGAATGTAAGTTCAATATTCACTGTCCTGTTTTGGTTTCCACCAACAAGGGAAATATCTGGCTCGTTAGCAAATCAAGACCTATACATTTGCCCAACTTATCATGAGATGAATACTCCAAAGAGAAATTAATAAAAAAAAGTTGGGAGCTTCTGTGAGCAACCTCTTAAAACTGTCCGCAGCCACACAGAGAAAAAAATGACCCAGGGGACTTCTGGGTTATGTAAACCTCAGACTTTCATCAGTTACCTCGCACTGACGTTTGGTGCAAAATTGCTGAGTCGGGTATAAAAGCTACAGGCAAAGCTACAGTTTATAGAGTCACTGTTTCCTTTCATTTTGTTGTTACAATGGGTCACACCACATCTTTTGGTTTCCATAAAATATCAAGTAATGACAGGGCAGGCATCACCAGGCAAACACCAAATACAGTTATACTAATAACATCTTTCAATACTTTGATGGGACACAGAGGATTGAAAATTTGGAGAGAGATGTGTAACCGTTTGACCTCACAGTCTGCTAATATCTGTTTATGAGTCATACATGTTACGCAATGAACACTTTATCTGCACAATTTAAAGAAAAATAAATAAATAAATCAGGAATAAAAGCAGCTATTAATTAAAGATTACATTTACTTACCGAATAATCGATCCCATATGATCAGAATTCCTCCATAATTCTTGTCAATGCAGTAAAGGTTCCTCCCTGTTAAGGTAATATTTTGTGAGATGACGACAGAAATTATTTACACTATTTAAACATATCTCTGACCTCTTTTAATTCCATTATGTCAGTTTTCCCCACACATTTCAGCCTTTACAGTACCACATATTTAATGTTGCTCTTCCTGGGCATATTGATGTACTATCAGTTATGGCAAAAAGAAAAAGAAAATATCTGTAAAACTTTATAAAATAAGCAGATTATATTGTCACTGTCCTTTATAAAATAGCTTATCTCTAGCTATCTCACCGTGATGAACTCTGTGATGTTTTGGGGTGTTGAAAACCCACTCCAGAGGTCCAAGGTCTCTGATCAGCTGAAATAAATTAACAAAATAAAATACATAAAATATTTTACACATACAATTTGCTTACTGGATTTCAGCACAATATCATTTTTAGATCATGAGATAATGTGCAAAATTGACATTTTGGCCCGATCATGGTATAAGATGAAAGGTCATGAAGGTAAATTTTCTTCGGAGCATAAATGTGTTACTAAATTTATTAAATTTTATTTATGAATTATTTTTTATATTTGATTTTGATAATTTTTGTTTATATGGACATTATTTTTCTATACAAAAATGTTGACCTAGGGAGAATTTTTGAGGAATGGTGACTACAACAGGATAAGTGGAAACTTTGACCTCCTGGTGGCGCAAGGTCAGGGGATCATGAAACTGATTAGGCGGGCACCATGAATGTCTGCCCAAACTTCCATTTTAATCTGTCCAATAGATACTTTTTTCTAAACTAAAGTGGTGGACCTACCGACTAACAGATGGACATCTATAAATTGGTCCAAGATAATGTTTTCAACAGTGTAAAACCCAATGATTTTCAGTTTAATTAATAATACAAGACAAGAAAAAGCAACAAATCCTCATCTCTCAGAAGCTGGGACCATCAAATGTTTGGAATTTTTGCTTGAAAATTACTTAAATGATGGATAGTCTCTGATGGATTAATTCTCTGTCGATTGACTAATAATTTCAGCTCGAGACCACTCATATGTTGTTCCGGACCAAAGTTAGACTGAACGACCTTCGGACCTGACATAAAAGCAAAAGATTACTATGGATAACTGTTGGAAAGATGCATTATGAGACACTTGGTATTAGTAACAGGTGACAAAAAGTGAGCCGTCAATATTACTTTCATACATTCACATTCTTGTTTATGGAACTCAAATGGGTTACATTGTTGAATGAATAACAGTATTTATGGACTGGTAGCACAGCAACTAGTGGGGATGAGGAAAAAGTGCCAAGAGCAGAGATGTTAATGGTAATGTTTAAACCCAGTAACGCACACAGACAGAAAACCCTGCCGTGAATGCATCACGGGTACATTTTGTGCATAAAACTATCAAACATGAACCATTTTCACTTCTGAGATATCAAACAGATGCACCAGTGAGTCATTAAAGATTAGAGAGGTCACAGAGCATATTTCACACAGTTCATGTTTCTATTTTGGCTGCAGCTCTCACATATTTTGATGTTTCGCATCAATACAACAGACCTCTCAGTCTGGAGAAACGTGCACGGCTGGACAGAATTTCTCAGTGATTCATTATTTCCATGTAATGGCCGCGTCTGGCAGCCGAGCGTGAGAGTTTCATCTTGAATGAAAAGGGTCTCCACCACTTCACTCCTGCTCTGAGGCTGGAGTGCTGCAGAAAATAGCGTGCCAATAAATTACATGACATCAAAAAAAGCCCATAAAGGAGGCATAAATTACATCCCTTCAGAAAATTGTGACTATTACGACTGTTTTCACTAATAGTGCACTAAAAGATGGAAGGCGTTCCAAATCCATTCATTCCCTCTAAAGATTGTGGGGATTGTAAAAGTGATACTCCCAGTCACTTTAAAGGCAGAGAGAGTGGTCATGCTTCTGTTTGGAATATTTCATAAAATCTCATTATTTTTTATTGAATACAGGTTCCACTGCAGCACTGAGTCTACAAAGGCTCGGCTTAGCAGACGGACTAGTATTGGCACAGGGAGA